GCCGGGTGGTGGTGTTGCACACCTTTAATCCCAGCACTCAGAAGGCAGAGCCAGGCGGATCTCTGTGAGTTCGAGGCCAGCCTGGGCTACCACGTGAGTTCCAGGAAAGATGCAAAGCTTTTCTTTTTTCAAGAAACCCTGTCTCGAAAAACCAAAAAAAAAAAAAAATTTTTTTTAGAAAATCAATCAAATGGCCAATTAGTTTGACATCCAGAAGGAAAGCTGAATTTAATGAACAGTTATCGTCACAGAAATTTTCAAAGACTGAGTTGGACCCCCAACACCAAAACTCTAATAAAATATTACAAAGAACTTTCTACTCATCTCAATTGTGCATTTCAAAATGAATCCTTTGTGTGTGTGTGTGTGTGTGTGTGTGTGTGTGTGTGTGTGTGTGTTGCACATGTTGCAGATGTGTGTAGAGATCAGAGGCTAGCTCTGTGGAGTTCGCTCTCTCCATGGCTCCCAAGGATTGAACTCATGTTGCCAGCATACCTGATGAGCGATCTTGGGGATCACAACATAAGATTCTCTTACAATCATCAGTCTACTGTCCATGATAGAACACTGCTCTGAACATTTCAGCACGGCGCCATCTCCTTCCCTCACTGCTACTGGAAAAACACATCTCACGGATCAACATACTAGGAATTGCCTGTTATTAAACTCCATACTTGCAAATTTGCTCAGGTATGTACCTCTATATGGATATATACATGTAGTTTTCTCTTTAAAACCTCTCACCCATCCCAAGGACACACAAATAAAGTACAGTGAGAAATACCAGCTGCTGACACTCTGGTTGGTTAAAAACAACTCATTTCAAAGGGTGTCAAATCGAAGAGTTTATTCTTTCCTAGATTGATAGTGGTCAAATACTGGAAATCCGCTGGTTCAAATTAACTTCTGGAAAACACTTTGTATGTGGTTGTAAAGACAGCTGTAGATGGAGCTCTTTGGTCAGGAAGATGCAAGCCTGTGCCTAAAATCTACAGCCATGACGCTCCTGGAGTAGCTAATCAAGTCAGGCAACAATGCAACTATTATCATAAAACAGAATTTTATAAAAAGCCTTCGAACATAAACACACAGTGTAAACCTCATGCTGACCCCAGGCAATCAGTGAAGCAAACTCTTCTATCCGGCCATGTGGTGGGTATTTGTGGCAAACTTTCTGTTCTCTAACACAGTTCAAGAATATTATCTTCAATTAGAATCCCATTGGATTTGACAGCAAGTCCAATCTGAGTTATTAAGAGCTAACAAGGAAAGGAACATTTTAAAATACTAGATGTCAGCAAGCATCGAGTCAAAGTAGCTTGCAACTTACAGAACTTCCATTAATTACCTGCTCAGTTTTCAAACTTCTAATTGTGGAAGTGAAGACCAGACTTGGAAATCTGAGGTCATTTTGAGACATGGGTGAACATATGAGATAACCACTATAGCCAATCATTAGGAGGAGCCGAGCAAGCACCTCCCTTCTGCATCCTCCTCCCAGACACATACACACCAGGGCTACTCCTAGCTGCCAGTCCTTCTCCAGACCACTTCCGATTCCCAGTCTCCACTCTCCTTGTCCAAGAGGAACAACAGCTAACTGGCTTCCTTATTTCTGGAGTCTCTATAACAGTAATCACCAACCCAGTCTTTGTGATTATCAATCATCTCCCTAAAATTAGGGGCAATTCTAGTTCAAATAATGATTTTATTGATCTGATCAATTTACCACGTTCCACTAGGAAGATTCTCTTAAGATCACTCAATAATAAATCCCCAGATCTCTGGATTCCTCAATACCGCACACACGCCCTTGCAGCAAACAATCATAAACACACACGTTATGCAATTGCCTGTTTTATTTAGTGGCACTGATTTTGCAAACTAGAATCTCTACGTTCCATCTCACATACAATCTGTGACCATTCACAGGCTGAATGCAGTTTTTCAAAGAACTAGAAAACAAAAGTACATTCTTAAAATTAGAACTAAATTCACATATTTCTTTGGACCAGGAAATGGTACATAATACAAAATATACATTTATGGAATTTCTTTAAAACTGTGGGTCACATAAACTGCAAAGTGGAGAATTCTGTTACATATTATGTTTAAGAAAAATATTTCTGCAGTTCTTACATTGATTAAGTTTAAAAAACTGAATTTATGTATAATGCAACATGCTTTTAACATGTACATGTCTCCCCACTCAAAACACTCATATAAATGAAGTGAAATAATTACAATTATAAAACTAATCAATGCTGGGCATCACTGCTACACGGTACCTTCCTGCAGATATGCTATGGCGTTATTTCAGGGCTAGCCAGGTAAGATAATGAATTCTGTTTCTACTTCCACAAACACAAATCAAGCTAGAACTGAACATGAAATTTTGGCAACAAATTTAACAACCATTTTTCAATGTAATTATGCTATCTTTTGTAGCAATATCAATAATCTTCTACATTGCTATGTAAGACCTTATTTTAAACATTCTTTTTAAAGTACGTAATTCCTTAGCATCTGAAATTAAGTTAGTATTTAATGAAAATCTTAAAACCTGAGTGAGACCTGACAGCTAACGTGTTGGTAACATATTAAGCTACACTCTGGAGGGTCAGGAGCACACCAGACACATTCAATTTCCATTTCGCTTTTTGTTGTTGAGATTCAGGAGTAGCAAACCTTAAAAGACATCAACCTCCCTAACTGGCCTAATCACCGTTCTTCCCCCTTTACAAATAGGTTCCCACAACACAGGACCTCAGGAAAGAAACAAAAAACAAAAACAAAAACAAAATAGCCAATCAACCCAAACCAAAAGCCCCTCATACGAGATTCCCGCCAGGTGCCCACTCACCTCCTTACTGTTTTCAAAGTCAAACAATTCCTTCGGATGGATTTTTATGCTCTTGGAATATCTGGGGCTCTGCTGGAGGATGGTGACCTATTACAATGGAGGGTCTTGACCAGGCCAAGCAGACATTCTTGGGGAGTTATATACACCATCTGCACTTTCCCAGGTGCAGTCAGCCCTCAAAGGGTTGTGACCCCCAAAAGTTTAAGGAGCCCCTCAAGAACAAACCTGCACTATTCAATGTATGCAAACAAGATCTAATTTTGTCCTATAGCTCTCCAATTTCTACACACACTAGCTCACTTCAGACAGGACCACACAGACACACAGAGTGCTCAGCAGTCTTTCATTAGTCAGGACTAGATAAAATGAACAATTATCCTAAACATTCAATGAGAAGGCAGCCAGGAGAGAGTGGGATTTGGAGCAATGTCGAGCAGAGGGGTGGGTTTGGGTGAATAAACACTCTGTTTCTCAAGTTGCTTGTGTTGAATCAGTGACAAACAGCAGATCAGAAAAGCAAACTCACTTGCCTCTGGCTGACTTCTGTGACACTCAGTTCTGGAACAATGACAGCCAGGTCCAAAGCAATCATAGTGCCTCTCCCCCACTATCCCACATCCTGAGTTTTCTTGCTTTCAACCAAGTATAATAAAGTATTAATTGGCCTTGATGAGGTAATAAATGGCTTTTCTGGTTCAAGAGAATAGAACTGGCCTTTCTATTTAAGTGTGGGGGGGGGCACCCAAGAGAGGGGAGGAAATGGAAGCTGGGGCCGACAGTTCATGAATAATACGAAGAAAACCGGTCATTTACTGTTATTTCAACTTAAACAACTTTCCCGTCTTGTAAAAGCAACTGCAATTTGAATACCATTTGATTTTTTCAGGGGGGAGGGGGAGGACAAGGTTTCTCTGTGTAGCCTTGTCTGCCCTGGAACTTGCTCTGTAGCCCAGGCTGGCCTTGAACTCAAGAAGATCTGCCTGCCTCTGCCTCCCAAGTGCTGGGATTAAAGCTGTGTACCACCATGCCTGGCTCTATCTGAGTTTTCTGACACTCCACCATGCCGTTTCAATGGATAGGAAGAAAGCAGAAGCCAGTAGCTGAATACAGGGCACATAAAAAGGAAAGACTTTATGCTGAGTTGACTCTAGATGGAAAATGCCCATTTGACAATACAGCAGAACCAACGCCGGTCACACTGCATTCTACCAGTAATAATGTTTAGCTGAGTTACTAACATAGTATTACACATTTAGGAAAACATGTTCTTAAATATTTCAAGCATATTCTGAAATAATATATAATTTAAGACAACTGCAAACCAAAACACATAGCACATTATTGGAGGATATAAAGTGAAATCAGGCTTCTAAAATTAAAGACTTTCAAATGTCTGAAAGACAATCTAATTAGAAGACTAACAAGTTTAAAATGGTCATCTCATTATCTCATCACCAGAATATGTGAGAATATATAACATCCTTGAAGGTCCCTCCAAACAAAAAAACCTCAAATGAGAAACATTTACATGCTATAAAATATTTACAACTTTTAGGATACCAAATTCTATACTGTAAAACCAGCCAAGTTTGAACTAGAAGTGTAACATGAAATTAGAAATTAAAACAAAACCAATTAATCAGTCTTTTGTTCAGCAAGGACAGGCAGTAAGTATGGCTACTCTAAATACTAATCCACATGAGCTAGCACAACCATTTCCTATGAACACTGGTGCTGTACCACGAAGACCACAGTTTTACTTAAGGTAGAAGCTGCAGGAGGCTCTAAGCTGAGATCCCACCTGTATCCTGGGGGTTGGAGAACTCTAGGACATCCATCCATTCCTTGCTTGTGACTTGCTGCTGTCGGTAGGGAAAGTCAAGGCCATTTCTTACAGATAACCAAGTACTCTGTCCAAATGCTAAGACACACCTCAGCAGTCCAATGTACTCTTACGCTGAGCATAATCTATTGGATAATTTCAACTTTGGGGGAGAAGAAACAATTTGGGGGAATAAAGGAAAAGCAACTATTCCTGCAGGTAGTGACCTACTTTGTTGAAGAAAGTCCTAGGTAAGGAGGGGGTGGGCAATGCATTTTTCTTTATATGAATGATCCACTTATAATACATACACTGGATTCTAAATTCTGCCCTGAGAACAAGGACCTACTTCATCTCTCTACGGTCCTCCAGGGACTTAACCTAGAACAGTATTTTGGTAACATTTAACACTTTGTGGAAAAGCTGAGCTTAGCTGGTTTAACATGTTCAGTCACTGTAAGCAGTTCTGTAATTCAAACTATTTGTATCATGTAACTCATTATTCTTTCATTTTTTAAAAAAATTTTTTTTTTCAGATGGGGCGTCAGTCACTTAGTAGGCCAGTGTAGTCTCAAACCTATGATCCTCCTGCTTCAGCTTCCCGAGTGCTAAGACTGCAGACAGAGCCCCCACAAGTGGCTTTTCCACCCCAAGTTGCTGATACTCTGTGGTATAAGAAGCACAGCTGCTCGGTTATCTAGTCAAATAAATGCACAGTAACTGAAGATGCTTGAGAAGTATTCTGAAGCCAAGAGTGACCACTTGGGTTTTTATGAAGTTTATGTTATCAGAACACTTTTGTTATAAGCGGAAGGACATCCCACAAGAAAGTGAAAATCAGATGAGACAGGGTCTCACTGTGTAGCCCTGGCTGTCCGGGAACTATGCAGACCAACCCACACCTGCCTCGAACTCAGAGGTGCCCCTGCCACAGCCTCCAGAGTGCTGGAATTAGAGGCGTGCACCACCATGCCTCACTTATTTTATTTTTATGATCACTTGTTAAAACAGTAAGAGATATGAAAAATAGGAGTGGGGGAGGGATTGAGATAGGGTTTCTCTGTGTACCCTGTCTATCCTGGAACTCGATCTATAGACCATGCTGGCCTTGAACTCAGAAATTTACCTGCCTTTGCCTCCCAAGTGCTGGGATGAAAGGTGTGCGCTGGCTTCCTCAAAAATTTTAATGTAAATTAGCAAAAGCCTGCTCTGCAGAACTGAATTTTTCACTAACGTGAAAGTACACTCTGCATTTTATGTTACCATCACAGAAGAACTTTCCCCCTCTACATAAAACAGAACAAAACAAAAAGTCACACATCCAGATTTTTTTTTTGTGGCATTTGTCCTGAGATGTTAATTAGCAGGAAACGGGACAGGGATCAAGACTGAAGTGTACCATGCAGGCATGAACATTCCCTCCAAAAGTGTTGCTGGCTTCTACCACAGCCATTTTTCCAGGAAGTAGTCCAAATCTGCTTTTACAATGCATACCTCCTTCCTGTAGTTCTATAATGCAAAATGATTGCCAATACAGTGCTGCCTCATGTGGGAAGACTGAGTATTCTCAGATCACAGTGCTTCTTACTCCAGCCTTCAAAATTAACCACCTCAATAGCAGAGCATTCCAATTTCCTTTTTTGTTGAGACAATCTCAAACAAGGTTTACTTAACTAAGTGCTGTCGTTTGAAATACAGCTTTCCATCATGTAAGTTTCAATTTCAAAAGCTACCACAAGCAAACTGGCTTGAGGTTTTGATATTTCTAAAACTAAAGGTTTTCAGGTTACTTCTTAAAAACGAAGGACCCAGGTAGTCCGTCAGGATCTCAGCTTCAGCTGTCAGCCTAGAGCCCTGCCTGTGTTAGAAGCATCATTGGCTTTCATGAAATGCACATGTACATCTTTGCAAGCCATAGCTTAGAACATTACCATACTTCCAACTCTCCCACAGATTTAGACATTAAGCATTTATTAAGTTTGGAATTGGCTCTGTAATTCCGACTGTTATGAATTTCTAAATATAAATAATATTTCAGCTTTTCTTCATTCATGCTGGACTAAGATATAAATTAAATACAATGAAGTTACATGAATCACCTCCCGAGAGGGATAATGAAGAGTCCGCTGGTACTGTAGCTACTCAAGTCTGCGGCACTTCACAGTGCTTTCCTACGAGACCCTTAACGGTACAGTGGTTTTAAGGCTGTATATACAAACACGTCTACTTCCAAGTTTGGGAAAAACAAATAGAACAAAATGTATTACACTAACTTTTGTACACAAAGTTGTGACTTTGTACTAAACATATTTTAATTGTTTCCTAATGGGGCATCTGACTACTAACCGAGTCAATCGCATGTTGATAAATACAGCACTCAACCTAAAGAGACGGAAATACAGACGGGTACAGAACAGTAGTCTTTATAATGTGACAGACTGTAAAACTTACTCTTACATGCTTAATCAGAGGGGTTTAAGCCTAAATTAAATTAGGTATTTTATATCTACAATTCCTTAAGCTTTGAAATTTATTTTTAAAGGCCAACAGCTAAATATTATCAACATGCTATATTTCAAATCACAAATACATCTTAACCTCTTAGATTCTAAAGACGTGGGTCAATGAAAAGTTACAGGCAAACACACATTCGACACACACACATCTATCATAGTGTTAAGATTGTCAAACGTTGACAATTCTTTTAATTAACAGTAGGTAAATTCAAGCTGACACACATCTTACTAAGAAGTAAGCAGCCTGAAAGAAACTCATTTTAAAAACAGGTTAGGACAACACAGACTTCGATCTTTCGATCCATCTGCACCTGGGGTAACACCATCATCCAATTTAAGGAGACTGACACCTTTCCCTAGAAGGAAATGTCCCATTTACAATAGCATGGGGTCTTGAAAGCCGGGGTGAGAGGAACTACACGTACATGATTAAATTTCTTGTTTGTTAAACCAAGCTTTATTGATAAAATGGAATTCAGAATATCTTACTAGGAACAGCAGCAGGCCCAGCCAATCATGATAGGAAAAATGTGGCAGTCTCCTACTGTGTAGGAAGCTGCTGCTCACCAATTAGTAACTGAATGTAAGGACTCATAAAGAGGTGCAAAGAATCAAGGCATTTTAGCCCCAACTTGATACTCTTATGAATATATGGTATCACCTGCAATACTCTCGGCTGCAAGGAGAGGACATCCTAGAGACAGGTAAGAAGGAATGGCCGCATTAACAAGCCAATCCCTCGCCAGAACACAGTCTTCCATGCTCCCTGGATGCTGAGCTTTGTAAGATTTTAAAAGTCTTCACTGCCATGTGCACATGAGCATCTAGCTCTGTGGCTGCTGCTTTCCCTGTCCCAACCCCAAGTCCAAACACAGCACGACTGACTGACTACACCCGCTGTGTCACACAGCAGGCCAAACATCTCCTTACCATTGACAGTGAGGTTAAAGCAGTTCATAATTAAATATGAGCACTTTGTACAAGGACAATTACACTTTACAAAACCCAAAATCATACAACAAAAATTGCTGGAGTCTGATTTACAACATGAATTACGGTTTGAAATCACGTTTACATAAGTCTCAAATTTACAATTAAAAAAAAAAATCCATTCTGGGCTAGCTGTTCCACCGCTGACGCTCTCTGGTGTAGTCCCTCACCCACGTCGTACCCTTCCTGAAGTTGATGACGGATGTTAAAAGGTCCAGCAAAGTTGAGCTGTACTCCTTTGGAGGCGAAGGTGAATCCATGGCTAGATGAGCAGCTTTACCACATATCATCAGTTGATGTAGAATCCTTTACAGAGGAAAACAAACAAAACAAGGCATTTTAATCAAAGATGCAAGATACTAAAATGTACTACTTTCTGGATAATGCAGAAAGACAAGGTTTTGTAATAAACTAACTTCTAGGACTTAGCCGGTTTTAAAAGTATGTATGTCTATATATGAAATACTAACATTTAATCTGCTTTGTTAAAACAAACAAACAAATCCTTTGGTTTGGAAAAATATTTGGATGATTTTACTACGAGGATGAACAAAGTTATCATTAAATCAACAAAATTACTAAAAGCTTGACCTAACTGATATTACAACTCCATTTTCATGACGTTTATCGCACTGTGGGAGAAAGAGGTTTGCGAGAGCTTCCTGACGCAGCAGCCCACAGTACGTGAGAGCTGCACTCAGTGACCACGAGGAAACGGCTGCAAGGGTCTAGGTCACTGCAGAAAGGGACTTCTCTAGTGCCACCTAGTGCGGCTTGGCCTCAGGACTGTGGCAAAGATATCTGAAAGCATAAAGACACTTCACGATGAACATTTGGAATTCTGCCGCTGCTCCTCATAAAACTCAGAATAATCCAAGATTCTGAGGAAAGAGATCCCTAACTTAATAAAAAAAAAAAAAATGGTGAAGGCAGGTCTTCTGAAGTTGACTGCAGAGGCTTAAAAAGAGACCTTCTTTTGACAGAGAGAAGCAGCCACTCACCATGATTATGTCCCCAGTCACTGGGACTCTGGTATATGCTGAGACCAGAGCAAGTCGGGTTCAAAGTGCTCCCCCGGGCTGTGTGAGGGGAGGACAAGGAGAGGAGGGGCAGGGAGAGAGAGGGAGGGAAACCACTACTCACAGTGTCATCGTTTTTGTAAGGGTTCAGTCTATTGTAAACGGCTTCAATTACATTCCGCCTAGATGTTAAAAAATGCAGAAAGTTAATCCTTCACAAAGTAAACTGCGGCTAATAACCCCAGTCCAGTGCTCATCAAAGCTTCAAAAATAATCTTATACTTCAAATACATTCAGTTCCAGCTCCTGCTGTTAACACCAAGCCTGTCTTTGAGATATCTGTGTCCTCATGTTAAAGCAGAGTTACAGTTTCTCTAAAGTGGAGTAAATGTTAACATTCCATTGGTTCAGATAACACTAGAACAAAAGTCAGTTGATTTTATTTATTTAATAAACCGACCAGTGGTTTTTTGTTTTTTTTTTTTTTAAACTTATTTACTGTGAGCACATACATATGGAGGTCAGAGGTCAGTTTGCAGGAGTCTGATCTCTATTTCTACTATATGGGTTCTGGGGATCAAAAGCAGGCCACCAGGCTCAGGGCAGGTGCCTTTACAAAATTAAAACAGCACAACACAAATGCCCAAACCAACCTCCCGAGAAGTCTAGCCTGGGGATTGGGCGGCAGGGCTGGGAAGCATCTCCTGCACAGCACAGACCTTGGTCGGGACCCCACACAGTGCTGAGTCTGTGACTCAGTGACTCAGCACCCAAAGACGGGCAAAAACAAGTGGATCCCTGAAGCTTAATGGCCAGCTAGCTAGTGAGCTCTGGGTGTAGTGAGACCCAACCTCAAAGATAAGATGGACAGCAACAGAGGGAGATGTTGTCTGTCATCAGCCCTACGTTAGTAACCTCTGGCCTCCAAGCACATGTATGGGCATGTACACAAATACATGTACACACACGCACACACTAAGAGTCTATATGGCCTTACTTCTTTCTACCTGAGCTGACTTAAATGGCTACACTTGAGCAACAGCAATACCAATTTTAAGACATAGTAATTAAGGATGGTACCATAGCTTCCAAAGAGAAGCAACTTTAACATGCTACAGTAGACTGATCCAGCATATTACTGTCTCTGCTTTTCTTAACACCCCCTTCAAAAAAACTTCCACAAAAACTAAAATGCTGAATACTTCAGTGACAAATAGGAATTTGTTTTTGAATACTATTTTATTTTCAAGTCTGGCCATGTGTGGTGGTACAGGCCTCACCCAGCACGCAACAGCTAAGAAAGATTACTTGAGTCAGCAAAGCCTGGGCTATACAAGGAGATCATGTCTCTAAAAGAAGGGGAATACCTCTTTAATCCTTAATAGCAGAGCACTTGACTAGCAAGTGTGAGACTTTGAATTTACTCTTCAGTATCACAAACCACACACACACACACACACACACACACACACACACACACACACACACACACACGCATACTCTCCTCCCTCCCTCCCCTCTCTCTCCCCTCTTCCTCACGCCCCCTCAATGTAATGGTGCTTTTAAAGTATAGCCTTCACACTTCTAAAATTGATTGGAAGCAATTTAATGGACAGTCATATAAAAAGTTTTCAAAAAATACAAGTTTCAACAGGAGCTTCTAGAATCCCTGGTGAAATGATCAAAGAGTAAAGATTAGATGTGCAAACTACAGAAATTTAAATGGTCACAATATCCCTCCACATGCCAAGCACTGAATTAAAACAAAACAAAACAAAACAAAACAACCAAAACACTTGAAGCCTGGCAGCGGTGGCGCACACCTTTAATCCCAGCACTCGGGAGGCAGGGCCAGGCGGATCTCTGTGAGTTCAAGGTCAGCCTGGGTTACAGAGCAAGATCCAGGGGCAGGACAGGCACCAAAACTACACAGAGAAACCCTGTCTCGAAAAGCAAAAGAAAGAAAGAAACAAAAACCCAAACAACAATGACGAACCACTTGAATTGTGCAATGCACACTGTTAACTACAGATTAGCTTAGTATCTAACACAAATTAGTATGTTCTATGAAGCGACAGGAAAGGAAAAAAAGGCAAAGAAGTGTCTACCCTTTCTGACACCAAACATCAATCAATAATAAACAACCAAACACTGGGAAATACAGACATGTAGAAACACTGCCCAGACTGAAGATAATCTTGAGTGTTAAAGTTATATAAAGATTGACAACACAAAAATACCCCACCACTATTACCACAGCCACTTACACTTTTGTAGTATCATGTCATTTAAAATAATCTTTCACTGTATTATTTCATTTATTCTTTGAGGAAATCAGTGTCACCCAAGCTTCCACTAAGGACAACCCTCAGTACAATTATCAACAGTGACAATTAAGTACTGATTCCAAACAAGTACTACATTTCCTAACAGTGAAGACAGGACAGGACATTAGAGTAACCATAGTTATCTACAGACAAAGGCCAGGAGCTGCAGAACATACTCACTTGCTTGCCAATTCACCCCCTGGTGGGAGGCTGGGGATGTTCTCACTTGCTAACGTTCGCATCACATGGACTAAGTCAGGGACGCCTTCCCCCTGCTTCTTTATGATTTCTGGGAATCAGAAGTACTTTTTTTGTAAATGTTATCAAAACTCAATTTTTAAAACACTGAAACAAAGGTATCTTAGGTTATCACAGACAGTATTTACTTTACTACACCTGAGATTTTCTAAACTAGTATAAAAATAGTCAATGTTCTTCAAAAATTTAAGGCCCGGGGATACAGAAGAAGACACAAAATATCAACTTCAATGAATGAAAACAAGATAAAAATGTGAAAAGAAAAAAAAAACTTTGTGTTAACTTGATGTGTTAAACGATCAAGGTGTGTACAAATGACTTCCTTTAGGATGCCGATTAGTTACTGTTGAGGAGATCAACTCCTGTCCTTACACTGGATACAAGTTTTCTGCACTTTACCCTGTAAAATACATTGCACATATAAAAATAAATAAATAAATAAATAACTCAAGACTTGAAAAAGTACCTTTAAGTATAAGGCAATTTATTGAAGATATACTAGATCCTATCATTCTAACCTACATTTTTATAGTGGCAACATGACTTAAGTAGATAAATTAATTATATTCTTGAACATCACTCTGTATATCAATTTCCCCTCTAAGACACCTTTAAATGATATACAGATACACACAGCCCCCTTCATTTGTTACTTAAGCAAGGCTCCACATGAAAAGGTCTAAATTTCATGACAAAAAGAAGAAGAACAGAAAGACTTAGGAACTGTACGGCAGCATTAAAAAGTTAGTTTCACAGCATCAGGTTGGCCCAAGGGTACAGGGAGGGATCTGCAGTGTTATCAGGCACTTGCTGTTATTCTTATCAGAGACATCCTGAGCTGTGAACAGAGACCCTTACCCCAACTCTAAACTAAGTACAAGATGTCGTCATTTGGAGACTCCGCATATTTACTCTCGGGGCAAATTCCAGTCCAAGGCACTTGAACATTTTTGTTTCTCAATATTTATAGTAAGAAATGGTATTTTCTTTGCTACCAGAGCAAGAAATTATCATTCTAGTTCTCCATCTGTAAATCCCTCTGAAAATAACACATATAAAATCTTCATTCTCTATCAAGTCTCAAAATGTTACTTCACCATTAAAGGCACACGTTAAGACAGACATCACTACCCATAAAAATCTCTTTAAATGGCTCAGAATTATCCTTCTAAAATAAAGGCCAAACTTTACATCTATTATATCATGCCTTCTTTTTCTTCAAACAATTAAAAAAATAAAAGAGTCTTAAATCTGAACAGAAAGCAAGGATCTCAGATTCGGTTTGCCAAGTTCCTTTATTGTATGATCTTTAACATTTTGGCATATTAATTTTCTACATGGTTCTAATGCTGAAATCTACTATACAAAAATAAAGGGATTTGATGCTTGCCTATGCTACACAAGTTCACAATCTAAAAGCGTAACACACAGCACAGTGTCTACTAGGCCAATACAATCATTCGGTGAGAGCTCTGGATACAAGAGAAATGAACACTGATGATAAATGCAACCAAGGATGGCTTCGGTTCTAAATTAAAAAACCCACTGTATTTGATGTAGCTTACATCTTCATCAAAATATAAGTTATGATTTTTAATTGTGAAGAATACAGGAAAGTAAATTCTTTTAAGAATAATAAAAGCTTTAGAAACCATTAGAATCTCTTATTTGATGTGGGACAATCATTTAAATTGAACAATTACACTATCCCTGCTTCCTTCAGCTTCTAGAAAAGTCCTGAATGTTAAGAAACTTCTTTTAATTGTTCTTGGACTACATGTTTTAATTAGATTGCACAAAGACTTGGTGCTTTCCTAAAGAACATAAATGTCAAGAATTCTCTGTTTCATAAACACAGACACAAACACACTCTGATCCTCCCCACTTTCCTCAGTGAACTTAAGGAATTCTCAGTTCCCTGCATCTTAGCAACTGTTCAGGGAGTCAGGCCAGTAGCAGCGATGGACAGTCACACTCAGGCGAGGATAATCTTAACTCGCCTAAGGACCACAAGTGCAATAGCATCTGGGTATGTAAGGCAACGGGCTTTTCCTCCCCTCCCCTCAGTAAAGGAGAAGGGAGGAAGGCTCTGAGGAGCTTTGTCCTTCCAATGCTGTAGACACAGATGCCAACGTGGAAAGCAAATCACATGAGGCTCAGTAGGTCACAGCAGTTTGAGTCAAAGAAAGAAAAAGGTATCTGGTGCCCGTTTTAGAAGCTGTGTACCTCTTCGGTTAAGACATACATCTTTTACAGTGCAAAGATACATTCCTTCCATGCCTTTAAATAGCAGCAGCTTGAACTAACATGATTTTCTCTCTAGTTGCATCTCATCATATCTAAAAATACCATACTTAATTTATGACATATTACCTCCAATTGCATGGTACAACACTTGAACATAGCAAAAATACTGGCTATTAATGTAAACTCTGCCCAGGTGGCAACTGTCACTTGATAGTATGAAATATAAAACTTACTATAATAAAATTATATGTAGTGAATATCTGATAACTCCACCAAAAACTTACTTTAAAATAAAGCACACTGAAGAGAAAAATAGCAATTCATTCTAAAACTGGATTCCACTCCATAGTAAAAATACTAAAATACTTATTATTTCTTTATACCAATAAAATGTATGCCCAGGTTAAAGTGCCAATATCAACATCAACTTACCCCATACATTTTTTTTTTTTGGTTCCATATTTTTCTACTAATCAGCAATTTAGACCAATCACTCTGTAACATTCTAAGTATTTTTAACTTTACTGTTTTATCTACAAATAACATACTGAAATAGCTTAAGATGTGAAAAATTACAAGACCCTTGAAAATAGTGAGGAAAAATGCATTGACTAGTACATTCCATGAATGAATATTAAACAGTACAAACATACGTTACCATAGGGAGGGAGAGTAATAAAACCTCAAGCCTCTAAACACACCGACAACCCAAGCCAAGCATGATTCTAATAGACAGGTTACAAATGATATCAAGCAATAAAAAGGGAGAAAATAAAATTAAGATGCACACTAATTTTAATAATGAAGACACAATGGGATGCAATGTGTGGTAGGTCAATGCTTGCATGCCAATTACGGTATCAGGAGACCAAAATGCACTTTTTACAGTGCAGTGTTTCTGTTTCTAGGGCCTGCATACTCTACATGCTTACTGTATATATCCACACAGTGAACCCAGTGCTTGAGTTTATACTTAGAGAGCAGCTTCATCCAAGATGGTGTAAGCGCTGGGGCGTGGCTTAGAGGAAAACACCTGCCTACTGTGCAAGAGACCTTAGATTTGGTCCCCAGTTCCACAACCAACCTACCCACCCCACCAACGAAAGAATAATTTCTTCCAATATTTAAAACTGTCACTTTTTTTTTTTTTTGAGGTATAAACACTTTCCATTTGTTCTAACATAATTTGCCGAAATTTTAAAACCACACTCCTACAGTTCCAAACCACTTTCTTGACCTCATTTGAGAGTTGACTCCTGCCAGGTCTGTGTTGTAAGGTGAAAGAGCTTATGGCTTAGGAGGGAAGCTGTCAGAGCTGAAACTAAGTTTTAAAAGCTGTAGGATGTGACAGTTGTTATTAACCAGTTGACCTTCAAGTTATCAAAAAAAAAAAAAAATGAAACAAACAAACAAAAAAACACACCAAACAAAACCACCCCAAAACCAACCAACCAAACACAGGTAAATAAATGAAATATTCCAGAGATTGAAGTTAATGCACACAACTTTTCACAGGAAGATGACATACTCCAAAACAGGACAAATTGGGTTTTCCTGGCATAAAATTACTCATGCCAGTGAGTTCAGCCATCATTCAATCATTCAGAACAGAAGTTCTCTAATCATAATGCACAAGGCCATGCTAGTTATTTCTAATCGGACATGATTCCTGGGGCACACATCTAAATGTTTACTACACAATGTCCTGTCCACTTTTACATGGTAAGTACTAGATGTTAAAGGCATGTAAAAAACTAAAAACTCTAAAATGTTAGACTTTGTGTTGAAGGTTTTGTTTGTGAAATAAAGCTACTTATTTTTGTGAAATGATCCACCTTCTACTCTGCATTCCAGGTACTTGTCCAGCTCCGCCTCCTTCTTCACGGCTTCTGCTGAGACTTTAGGTGCATTGGGAAAACAGATCAAAATCACACTCATGTTGTCTCGACTTCCCTGGGAAGGAAAAGGGCAAAAAAATATTTGGTTTCCCTCTACTTTTTATAACCTTGAGAATCTTTATAATTATGCCAATTATATCATTTCTAGTTTTAAAAATGTTATTTTTAAGGAGAAAAAAGTAGGTATGTATGTGGGGAGAAAGTTGCCTCCACATAATATATTAAATATTATAAGCAGCATTCCAGGAGAAACAATCATTCCAGGCTCCATCCTCTGTGAGAATTACTGGTCAAGAGCCTATAAAACACAACTTTTCCTACACATTCTCTGGGGGCACTTTGCGGGAGTCCCCTGCCATGTCAACAGCACACAGGCACACATGCCATCTCACAGGGCAGAGCTGGCCAACGCTAGTCTTACACTCTTGTCACAGCACACTCTGGGGTTAATGCACTTGTTTCTGAAGTAGAAATATGCAATCAGAAGGAAAACGAGATGAAGTTCATACTTTTATAATACATATTATATATGACTTATATGATGAAGTACTGACTTAACTTAGGAAGTACATTCAAATTATTCAGACTGCTCTAAGTAGAACATTTGAATTGACAGCTTTCCTACACTTTCCTTACTTTTAGTATTTAATTCAGCTATATGGAAAAATTGATCTTATACACATTAAACAACAAATAATTCAAACAGCTTAATAGCAAAGAGACTCTTATGAGGAAAATCATAAAATATGGCAAATGCTAAGGTATTGGATCATTTTAAAACAGAACACAGAAAGATAAAGTCTAACTTGACTGTCATTTACTAAAATTCGAATCTAACAATTCAAGTTTTTATTTAGCTAACAGCACTTAATTCTCCAGTACTACATAGCGAACCTAGCAAAAGGCTGCTGAGCTCATGCGCACTGAGCGGGGCAAAGACCATGTGCACCTTACTGCTGTTCTCCCTGTTCAGAAACGGACAGCACACTGCCACCCCGTGCCCTTTAAAAACACACATGCAGGCGTTACAGAAACTGTCCTTCTAGTAGAACTAAGATTTTATACCGAGCTGACTGTGTGGACACATAAATGTTTGTTTTCAAAGACAGTCAACAAACGTTACTGATAAAACATTACAGTGTGGTATAGGTGTTCTGGTCTGGATGCTGCGACTGGAGTTGTGTGACATTGCAGAAATGAGTTCTGAATTCTCAGGAAAGCTAGCAGCACGTATCGGCTATGTATTACCTATCAGACTAGAGTGTGTACACGCACGCGCACGCACACACTCACTAATGTAAATCTTGAATGGTCCCATAAGTTAGACATTATTTCTATTTTGTAGCTGAGAGAGGCTGAACAGTTTCTTTAGGTGTGAAGAGTACAAAAGTAATAGAGGTAAGCCCTGATCCCAGGTCTGTTCACTCTTAAGTCCGCAGAATCTTCTCTGGCTTCAGCTTCCTCATCTATAAAATAAAGGGCTCAGCTAGCTGATCTATGTACACGATCCCATTTGATCCTCCCAAAAGCCCCACTAGACAGGGTAATCTCTGTCCTTTGATGTAACAATTCAATAACAGCTTACCTCAAGTCGCAGGGTCTCACACCAAGTCCTTCCACATCCGAGGCTATCTGTATTGCACCATACCCAATACTCACTCAACTCCGCTGTTCAGCTAGTGTTCCAAAGCATGTCCAGAACGTACAGATAGAACTCAAAACCTTCCCACCCTCTTTCTCAGGCACCCACATAGAATCTTTTATCTCTGTTATTCTTCTATAGTACCAAAAGCTTAAATACTCATGGTTAAAGACCAAACATTCAGACACAACTCTTGCCCAGATGGTAACTGGCTAATTCCTAAAGTATCCCAATATTTTCACAGTTGGTAAAAAATATACTGTAATTGTGCCCCAAGTGTATTTTTGGTATCTACAGGCTCCACAGTGATTAAAGGGAACAGTAATTAACGACATAAAGCTGAGAGAGAAAAAGAAGTCTACCTTGTACAAACAGGTGTCAACTACTTCATTGCAAACTTTCTCAAGGTCATCAGTGACTTCAAGTCTGGATCTCACGAAGTCACAGAGCTCTTCGTTTCCCATGACGTCCCAGATGCCATCACATGCAAGAATAATGAACTGGTCATCCTCTTCAGATCTTTCAATATCATGGACTTCCGGCTCCGGTGAGACGAGCTGCTCTGTGGGACCTTTTCCATGGACACATTTGTAATCGAAATCCCCAAGGGCCCTTGACACAGCCAGAGAGCCGTTCACACGCTGGATCATCACAGAGCCCCCTGCATTCTGAATTCGTTCTTTCTCCAGCGGATTGCTTGGTTTGTGGTCTTGTGTGAAGAAGTGAACTTTCCTGTTCCTACAGAGTAACCCTCGCGAGTCTCCACAGTTAATGAAGTAAGTGTGCTGGGGGGAAATTAGGACCCCCACAGCTGTCGACCCACTTCTGTCTGCACCGTGTTTCTTCTCTGACATAACCCTCATGTGTTCATCAATCTCCAGAAACCCTGTTCTGATCCCATTCTTTACATTTTCCACAGAAGGTGCTCCTGCAGAGCCTTTAAAATCCTGGTTATTGGTGATGTGATCTAACAAATGCTCACAGCAGTATTTGGCAACCTGAGAACCAGCATGCCCATCATATACAGCAAAGAATGACCACGTCTCAAGTCCGCTTGGCAAACCGATCACAGCCGTATGCGCATCCTCCATTTCAACTCGCCAACCTTGCATGCTGCTTAGGCCATAGCGTAACCCATTCCCCTGCCCCTGGGCATTATGCTTTTCCATCTTTGGCTTGTCTAAAAATGCTCCCATTATGACTTGATCCTCTAGGTCTGTAAAGGAAGAGAGAGAAGAAAGTCAGTAACTGTCTGAAACAAAACACATCCAACAGTCTTTTGAAAGTGCCTCCGAGACACAAGGAAGCTGTGACAAGGCACAGGCTCCAGCCATAATAAGTGCTGGGCTGCTGACTTGGAATGTGGAGATGAACAAGAAAGGGAAAGGCGGATCGAGTACAGCTCAACCAGACAAGCAGCAGAGGGAACTAAGTCCCCAGGCAAAGGGGAGCTTGTCTGCCTCTCTGTGATACCAAGGAGACCCAGCAGTGACCATTAACTTACGGGAACTAGGCAAGATTTCAGGGTGTACTCATCACACCCAATCTTGCAATTATGGTGTGTGTCAATAAAAAACACACTGGTCCAAATTTTCAATGCCTTTCTTTTTTTTTTTTTTGGTTTTTCGAGACAGGGTTTCTCTGTGTAGCTTTGCGCCTCTCCTGGGACTCACTTGGTAGTCCAGGCTGGCCTTGAACTCACAGCGATCCGCCTGGCTCTGCCTCCCAAGTGCTGGGATTAAAGGCGTGCGCCACCACCGCCCAGCTTCAATGCCTTTCTTTAAGCTCTTGTGCAGGTCATTCTCCTTAGCTGGAATCCCTACCTAACTCACCTCTTTACCAACAGAAAAAAACTACCTGTATCTACCCTTTCAAGTCCAGTTCAGATCCTACCCTTCATCAGACTATGCAGTCTTTGATGAAACCAGTCAGTTTCTAAAGGGGTCAGCTTCAATTTTCAAGTTGCAACACATTTAATGACAAATTTTATTATGCAAAAAAGGTAACAGAATTAATCTGATAATAAAGCTAAGAGTAATAATATGTATCATTACATGCTTTATGATCACTGGGTATAAATCATAAAAGAGATTCAAAAGGTCTAGTTCGGCTCATCTAACCCTTTACCAATACTTAACAGCCAGCTCCTTGATCTGGAATGGACCCACAAAGACAGACACATTTCAACATTTTAATAACACATTTAATAACACAGTCCAAGTAATCAAATGAGTCACAAACTAAAGAAAATCTTCAAGTAGGATAGAATACTGGATGGAGACAGGAGGTAGAGGAGATGTGTATAATGAGGGTGATAGACGGTGTCCAGGTGAAGTTTTGAAACTAGAGGACTAAAGAACCAGTAATGATAAAACACTTTAGGAAAGAATTTTGCTTCGCAGCAATCCCACACACACCACTTTTTTTTCCTTCTGCTGAACAACTGATGCAGAGGGAGAGAAAACTGAACCAACTCCTCCAAGTTCTCTGACTTCCACTGCGCGCGCACACACACACACACACACACACTAAAAACTCTGAAGATTACATTTTAAAAATTCCTATGCCAATTATAAGGCCTACCAAAGTTGCAAACCATAGGGGGGAAATCAGATGAAATACACAAAAGGCGTAAAAGATGAGGTCAAGCCTGGTGTGGCGGTTTGAGCAGAGGCAGGTGAGTCTCGGTGAGAAAAGTTCCAGGACAACCATGACTACATAATACAGAGACTCTGCCTCACTCTCCATCAGGACCTCCAAAAAAAAGGGGGGGGGGATGTCAAGAGATGAGAACCAAAGAGAAAAATCAGCTCAAAATGTGATCACACTAGAAATAACCACCTGAACGTTGGTAGTAAAACTCAAACTGAAGTTCACTTCACAGCCAAACCAACAAGAAAGATGAGGAACCCATAGTCTTCTAAGACCTTCCCAACGACAGCATGCACTAAAGAACCCAAGTTAGGAAGTCAGACCTGCTGGGTTTCAACTCTGGTTCTACTCTTTTCAACAGTGTGGGTGCAGCAAGTGTGAGACTACTATCTTTTCTGAATGGCTTTCTTCATCTGTGTAATAAGGTGCTGATCTTTTTATCCCCCCCCCCC